GTGCCTTCGTGGAGGGAGGACCTTGCTCAGAGCTCTCCTGTTTTTCACCGTTTCCCCTGACTTTGGAAACAAAACCTCTCCTCAGATTGCACCCTAAAATCACCCTGATGCAGCACAAGCTCCAGAAAGCCAAAACCATCAAATTTGGCCATGAGGGTGTTCCTGGAGGGTTCCCTGACTCTCTCCTGCTCCCTCACAGCTTTCCTGGGCACGTGAAGTCTTTTCTAAAGGTGTTTTCAGATTTTTGGCACAGTGAGTGCACATTCCTCTACTCAAAGCCATCTGTTACTTCACCCCAGTTAAGCCAAGTGACCAGAAAAGAGGTAAAAATCATCATGGAGGTAATAATATCAATTTTTTACTGATAATATTAGAAAAGCTCTACTCTCAGCCTAAAGGAGGAGGTGCTCTTAACTGGAACCACCCAGCCCTGAGGCTGGTGTGTGAATAGCTATGCAGATTTTTTCCAAGATTTTCATGCACTTTATACAGGGAAGAAGGATATTTAATGCAGGAGAGTGTCGTTTGTGTCGAGTGTCTCATCTCCTCTGGTGTCTCTCGGGGGTTCAGTCCTGCTGGCTGCGTCCCTGAATTGTGGGTGGGCCTCAGATTCTTGGGAAATGGTGTTGGTGGGCTGGAAAGGCTCCTTTCCCCCCTGTGTTTGCAGGGCTGGGGGTCCCTCCTCCCCACAGGGTTTCTGTGGCTCCAGGCCAGCCAAGAGGAGGCTGCTCAGAGGGACTTCTTGGGGTTTTCTCAGGCCAAGCCACGCCTTTTTCCTGTGTTAGGTTCAGCTCTTGAGGTGTTTTGCTCTCCATGTCCAAAATCAAGCCTGTTCACCCTGAGGTTCTGGCCCTTTGCTGTTCCATGGTGTTGTTGAGCTGAGGAAAAGGAGCAGAAGCAAATTTTGTGTGGTGGCACCGCCCGGGTCCTTGAACAGAGGGGTTTGTCCTTGGCTGGGGTGGAACATCCAACACCATCTCCTGCAAAGGCAGAACCCCCACAGGGGAGGGACCCCACCTGAGCAGGGCCTGGCGGTTGTCCAGCCCTGTCCATGGCGATGCTCCCGCTGGTTCCTCCGGTTCTTTGCACAACATTTCGTTTTCCCAGTGCCTTATCCCAGGTCTGCGGCCTCGGGGTGCCTGGATTTTAGGGAATGAGGTGGTGAGGAACGGTGTGGGCTGGTCACACTTCACAGCACCTCCGGTGGGGTCACCATCAAGTGTCTTGTTCCTCCATGTCCCGTGTCCATCTTTGGTTTCTGCCCCCTCCACCGTTCCCAAGCCGTGATCCCACTGTTGGGTTCCCCGGAGCTCGTGTGGCCCTGCCAGGGTCAGACACTGCAGGGGCTCCGTGTACTTTAAATGAGCTGAAATCCAAAGAGACTTTGTAATGAGCTGTAAAGTTTTTAATTATTTCTGTACCATACTAAATGACTGTAATATTGTATCATACGTGCGATGCCGCCTGCAGGACCTGAATAAACATCTTCTTTAGAGCTGGGATGTCTGTGCTTTATTGCTGCAGTTTGTGGCACCAAAATGTTTAGAATGGGAATAGTTTAGGTTGGAAAAGCTTCCAAAATTGATTCCAGTGGTTCCCCAGCACTGCCAAGGCCACCACTGACCAATGTCCCCAAGTGCCACATACACGTGGCTTTTAAATCCCTCCAGGGATGGCAATTCCTGCATTCCCTGGGCAGCTGTCGCAGCCTGACCACCCTTTTGGGGAAGATTTTTTTTCCTGATATCCACAGTGGGATGAGGATCCCAAGGACTTTTCTGCCTTGCTCGAGGCACCTGCCACAACCAACCCTGCCCTGGCCTTGGGATGATGAGACCCCCCGTTCAACATTTCATGATGTCCTTGAAACCCCTTGCCTGGGCCACATCATTTCCTTTCTCTTTGCCACCATTTCTCTCCCAAATACAGCTTCATGTTGGAAACAACAGGCAGGGTTTGACTGGGATTATTTTGTGCAGCTTTTCAGTTTATCTTGGTGTTTTTCTAAAGCAACAAACACCGCGTTGATCCCCCCCATCCCCACCGAAACTCAGCGAGCAAAGGATATTTTTATCAGCACTGTCTTGCAATCAGCACACGAAAACAGCTTTTTTTTTCCCTTTAAAGCCACTTCCCTTTTATGTTTTACCTTCTGAAAATAAAAAAAACCCTCTTTGGCTGAAACACAGGAGCTGTTTGAAGCGGCATCACTTTGTTCGAACCTCGCTCTTCCCGGAAGGTGGCTGTGGCACCTTCCCCGCGCTGCCACGTTCTGTTCTGCAGCCAAAGCTGGCTTGAAAAGGCTCCCATCAAAAAGAGCAGGAAAATAATTTTTTAAAAACCTCCAAAACTAACAAAGAACACCTTTTTTTCTCCGTTTTCCTTCAAATTAACGCCGCTTCCATCGGCCTCGCTTGGCTTCAAATGCTTTGCCATGGGAGGCAGCAGCTCCTGGGCTTCACCCTGAGTGGAGAGAGGAGCTGCCCTGCCACGAGCTGGGCACATTTCCAAGGGGGTTTTGCTCACCTTTGGACACCAGCCTGTGAGAAATCATTGGATTTTCCCTGATCAATCTGGTTTCCCACCAAAGCAGGCACAAAGGGCTGGAAGTGCAGCTTCTTTGCAAAGCACAGACCTCCAAAGTGGATTTATTCCTCTTGGGTTTTTTAAAACATCTCCAAATGGAGCTTTTCTGTATTCCTGGTTTTCAGCTGTGAAGGAGGGAGTGGGCTTCATCCAGCATCCCAGGTGCAGCAGACACCCCTAGAAGTGTTTTTCCCATCTCTGGAAGTGTCCAAGGCCAGATTGGATGGAACTTGGAGCAGCCTGGGACAGTGGAAGGTGCCCCTGCCCTTGGCAAGGGGTGGGGCTGGATGAGCTTTGAGGTCCCTTCCATCCCGAACCATTCTGGGATTCCATGATCCCCACCCTCCTCCCTCCAGAAAATTCCCTCTGCAAACACAGCAGCGCTGGCAGCTGGTGATGGGGAGGGTTAAGAAAAATTTTATCCCCCTCTTTGATGGCTGAGAGGCACAAGGAGCAGTCTGAAAGGTGTTTCCACCCTGAAGTTCATTATGAATCACCTGCACCCCTCCAGAGTTGCCTTCCTGTGTTTTGGGGTGTCCATCCTGAGTAAAGCCCCCACCCACAGCTGCACATCCTGATTTTAACCAGGATGGCAGGACCTGGGCACCATTTCACTGAACAAATCAATTCCTGTGGCTTTGTGTCTCTCCTGCCACCCAGCTCAGCTTCCACACCTCCTGCAGGAATTTCTCCCCGTTCTGAGGAAGATTTTCCCACCCACCCCATGAACCCTCTCTGAGCCCCCCCAAGCTGCTCAGCCCCTCCTGCCTGGGGCTCCTCAATAATTCAACATTTTCTGGTGTTACCAGCCAAGGGCTGCTCCCTCCCGACCTTCAGCTGCTTCAGCAGGAATTTCATGGTTGGGATGGGGCTCACAGGGCCCTTCCTGAGGCTCTGGGCCCTGCTGGGGGAGGTTCCAGAGGGAAGGGGACATCCCCGAGGACACAACACCTTTGGATGAGCAGCACTTGTACCTGTGACAAACACAACCCCAGCCAAAGGAGGGAAAACTCCACTCTAAACATTTCCTTTGAGTGGAAACAACCTCAAAAGTTTTCTGGAGTCAGCCCATGGCTCACATTCCAAGTGATTCCACTGCTCCAAATCCACCTCCCCACCACCTTCACACCCCTTCCAGAGAGGGAGTGCACAAAGAATCCATTTTCCCCCCAAATAAACCCCACTCTTGTACATTCTCTTTGTTCTCAGGACACCTTTGCAGGTCTCACAGCATCTGCTTTGAGTGCAAAGAGACCCAAAAAGTCTCAATCCATGGCTCACATTCCAAGTGATTCCACTGCTCCAAATCCATCATCACCGTGCCCACCACCATCATTGTGCCCACCACCTTCATCCCTTCCAGAGGGGGAGTGCACAAAGAATTAATTTTTCCCCAAACAAATCCAAATGTTCTACATTCACTTTGCTCTCAGGACACATTTTTGGTCTCAGACAAGCCCTGCACAGAAAGGATGACAGAAGAAAAGGGTCAGTGTTGAGTTATACGTTTTTATTTTCTAATAGGTACAATACTAAAATAAACACAAATTAAAAAAAAGTTTTATTAAAACAAAACTGTACAAAAAAGCAGTTATACTACATTTTAATTACAGAACAGTCTACTGTCCAAAAGGCACTAATCCAGAATAGGAGATACAATGATACAGGACTCATTTGAACTATTTTAATCAATACAATAGAGCACTTGTTTCTCTGTCCATTCACATACAGAAACAAGGACTTTTGCTACAGTCATTACACATTGTTATAAATATGAGCCCTACGTAGAAAGGTGCAGTATCGCTCTCCCCTGGCCATGGGTCAGCTCTGACAAAGACAGGGATTAAATTAAACAAAAAACCCAAAAGGGCACAAGGGGAGAGGCTGATGGTTCATCCTCACAGCAGCTGCTGCCAGGGGAAGGTGTGATGGATACTGACCCTCACCTGCATTTGGGGTGGAGGCTGGACCAGTTTCCTCAAGGGGCTGTGGTGGGGCTGAAGGTGAAGCTCCATCATTTCCTGCCCCGAGCTTCCCATCAGTTACTGCACTGCATCCTGCTCTATCCAGTCTCCTTTGGCCCTTTGTGATGGATAAACAACAATTCCCAAGCACACCAAGGGCTCTCACGTTTCCTGCACTGTTCCTTTTCTCCTCACAGGGAGCCACCAGCACCTTGCAGGTAAAGGCAGTGAGTGGGAGAAGAGCTGGGAATGCTCTTCCCAACACTCAGGGCCTTCACTGGCAAGAACAGATGGATCCCTCTCAAGGCTGCTCCAACCTTCCCAAAGAGCCAGAGCCCCAAAGCCACCAGGGGTGCAGGGTGGATGCTCCTGAGGGGGCACAGGGGGAGTCACAGCCCATCACTCCCCAGCCCTCCTTCCTGACAGCCAAACCCATCCAGGAGCAGCCAGTGCGGGAACTCGAGGAGCTTCCTCCATCCCCATGGGGTGGGACTGAGGCTCACCCCTGGCACCACCCCAGCACTTTCTTCCTTCCCACCACGAGGATCTGCTCATCCTCCCTCCCAACCTATCCAATCCATAATTTTTTTTCCCCCCAAAATGTCAGGCTGAGGAGCAGCAGCAGACCATGGAAATGTGTTTAGGGAACAACTACGAGCAGAGGAATCAACCAGAACATGAATATTCAACTTCACCACGAAGAGGAGCTGGGAAATGAAACATCTCATCTTTCAGCTGAACGAGCAGCCCTCAAGATCAAGACCAGGGTGGATCTGAAGAGGATGATGATGATGATGAGGATGATGATGATGATGAGGGGCATCACCTGACTCGTTCCCTGTGGAGGAAGGAGGTTGGACACACGGCAGGAGAGGGATACTGCACCTTTGGAACAGTGTCATACACATAAGACAAAGACAGGCATCTGGATGTTAACAAAAATAAGTAACAAAGAAATATGATTAAACAAAATCTCTTCTCACATCATCCTATACTACATCCTCCTTCTGCTTAGCAGAAAATTGTACGTACACAAAAATACAAATACACAATTTTGTAGAACAGTCTGATTTTAATATATTTATATATATTTATATTTATATGAGTGGCAGGTTAGTTCATTATATAGAGCTTTTTGCACTTTTGGCTCATATGCAACAAGGCTTTATAAATTCAGCTTTAGCTTTCATTCAGGTTTTATAGCTTCTTGAACATTTGTTTTCACATTTAAAGCAGCATCCAATTTGCAAGAGGAGTTGGTGGTGGCTACAGCAAGGATCAGGTCAAGAGGTTATTTGGGGGCTGGGGGGGAGGAGAATATACATTCCAGTGTGAGTGTGAGTGTGAGTGTGAGTGTGCGCTAGTGCTCATGGAGAACTGCCCAGAGGGTGAGCACACCGCTCCAGGATCCCATGGCTACCCCTTGAGGTAGGCAGGACACCTCCAACAGCAGATGAGACACAGGCCCAGCCGGGCAGAGCAGCAGCTGGGGGGACAGGAGGAACGGGCAGGGATGGGACACGGGGGACACTGATGGATCTGGGGACACTCAAGCGACAGGAGCCACCCCAGCACAGCCCAGCCAGGAGATGCACGGCTGGCACCAGCCACAGGCTGAGATCACAGTGGGACAAAGTCGAGGCACGCACAGAATTCGGATGTGAGAACCTCCCCAGCCTTCCCTGGGTTTTGCTGTTCCTGTGTGCTCTGGGGTTGCTCCACTGTGCCCTCACTCTGGGCTGCCACACTCACCGACAGCACCCACCTGCTGTCACCAACACCCCTGCAGGGACCGTCACTCTCAGGGAATCCTCACTTCCAGAAGGCATCTCGGAGCAGGGCCAAGGGCTGTGTGTGCCACAGAGGGTTTCCATCAGGAAATGTCCCCATTTCCATCAGGACCCCAGCAATGGATTCCCACAGGATCACTGCCTTCTACCAGCACCCATCCACTCCCCAGAGGATGAGTTCCTGCCCTCTGCAGGGATGCCCTCACAGCTTTCCTTGCCAACAGTCCCTTCCCACCTCAGATGTTGTCAGAGGGAGAACATTTTGTTGCTAATGAAAAATAAAACATTTATACACGGATTGCTTTCATTTGCTGAACCCTAAAGTGTTACTAAAACTCCTTCATAGTGTTCTGTTACCTCCTCTCACTGTGGTCAGAAGAAATCCTCCTGTAATGAAATATTTTAAACTATCACTGATACCTTTATTCTTTAAACCTACATAAAATTCTCACCTTTACAAAATTATAACCACCTGCCAATAGTTAGGGTTATTTGGACATGTTTAGCAGGTGCCACTATGATAAATGCAGAAATAATTAAGAATATAGGAAGAAACTGCCTTTGGGATTCCAGAGGGGTTCTGGCTGCCCCATCCCTGGAAATGTTCCAGGCCAGGCTGGATGGGGCTTGGAGCAACCTGGGACAGTGGGAGGTGTCCCTGCCCATGGCTGGATGATTTTTAAGGTTCTTTCCAACCCAAACCATTCTGTGATTCCAAAGGAGGTGATTAAAGACGCACATCAGCTTTTTCCACCCAGAGATGGATGTTTATCACACAGAGCTCTTTGTATCTGCAATCCAAGAGGCAGTTTCCTACTGAATTCCATCCTCTTTGCCACCCACCCCAGATCAGAGATTGCAAACGTTTGGCTGAGGAATGAGATCACCCCCCAAAAGACTGAGAACCAAGGGGGGCAGCATGAGGAAAGAACAGGGAGTTTGTCCAGCCAAATTCTGCTGGACCCACTGGAGGGATGCGTGCAGGGAAGCAGGGAGGGCTCTTTTCTCAAGAGGGAAATGAGGTCTAATCCTGTTCCTCCAGCTCACTCTGGAGTCCTGTTCCTCACTTAGGCACTTTTTAAATTGACATTAAGAAAAAAAAAACAACTAAAATGAAAGAAGTACTGCACAAATCTCCCACTTCCCGGGCTTTGGGAGGATCATGAAGACCAAGAGGAAGACAGCCAAGGCAATGTGTCAGGAAAATGTTTTCCCCATGGCCACAGCTGGCTTTGACTCATCACCCTTTGACAGAACTGCTGTGGAACTCAACTGAGTGTAAATCTGGGTTTTCAGCCTGTCCCACGGTGCCATCCCATGGGATCTGACTCCCAACGGGACACGGGGCTCCCCAGCCTCAGCCAGCAGCACTGGGGGCAGAAATGCTGCCCAGAACCATCCAGAACTCCAGCACAAAATCAGGGAGGCTTTGATGACATTCACAAAGACATTCCTGGAGCCAACAGCAAGGAAAAAGGGATTCTGCTTTTGGGTTTTTACTGGGTGACAGAATGGGGAATCTGTCCCTCCCGAAAGACCAAACAGGGCTCTGACCCCACAGCAACCAAAAACCAGCTTCAGGTCAGCACAAGGCTCAGGATGACACCCAAATTCACACAAAAACAAAAAAAAAAAAAGGAACAGAAAATTCAGTGGATAACACTGGAAGATGGGAAGCTCAAAATCCAAACTGTTTTCACTGTAATTTTTCATTTGGAAAAGTGACTTCAATATTTTCCAATGATTTTTCAAGCTGAAACCAACTTATGAATAATAATAATGATAAGCTCCTCTGGCTGCAGTGAGGGATCCCTAACCCTGGATAAATGAAGTGTCCAAGGGAAGCAGCAGACTCCTGGGAAAGCTGCGCAAATCCAGGCATCCTGTCCCAAACAGCCCCATTACAAACAGGCACCCAAACCAGGAAAATCCACTGCTCCAATGAAGGTTCCATCCAGGAAAATCCACTGCTCCAATGAAGGTTCCAACACAAGCAAGGCAAAATAAATTGGAACAAAAGAAGGCCAGGCTGGATGGAGCAACCTGGGACAGTGGGAGGTGTCCCTGGCCATGGCAGGGGCAGGAACTGGATGAGCTTTAAGGTCCTTTCCAACCCAAACCATTCCATGATTCTATGAAAAAAAAACATTTCCACCTTGTCCCTCTCCCTGTCTCCAACCCCCTGATTTCACAAGGATTGTGCAAGTGAAGAACCTGCTGTAAACTGGCTGAATTTATGAGCTGACTGATTTTTTTTTAACCGGCCAAAGTAGATAAAATTGTTATTTATTTCATATATACTTCAAGTAAGTAATGGATACAGCACCATCTAAAAGGCCAAAGGAAAGGGGAATGTCTCCCAGTAAACAAATCTTACCAGTAAAAAAAGAAGACAGACCAAGTAATAATAATAATAATACTAAAATTAAACTTAAAAATTGCTATTTCTGTGATTTTCTAACCATCCAAACTGCAAGGAGGGAAAGGAGAAGGGTCTGAGAGCTGGGAAACCCCGGAGTAGAAAGTTTGGAAGTTTCTGCCCTACACTGGATTGCTTTTTACAGGGAGGAAACAACATAAATCCCTTACTTGGAGGCTGCAAGGACAACAGCTTCAGATCAGAGCAGGTCGGAAGAGGCAAACCAGGTAAAATGGAATTATTGGGATGTGAAGGAGCTTGCATGAAAGATAAAAGAAATTATTTCTATGAGAAGCACTGAAATCTGGGAAAATAATGTGAAAATAATAATTCAGTGCTGAGAATCAACTTCAGAGGGAAGCAAATGGCTCAGAGCAGTTGAGGAGGGCTGAGCTCAGAGCCCACAGGAATTCCTTCCAGGAATGCAGGCTCCATGCAGGAAATAAGGAGACACCAGTTTAGCAAGAGGGCTTGTGCTGGCTGGGGGATGTTTTGAATCCCTCTGCAAATGGCATTTGTGGAAATCAGCTGCTGAGGCACTGCAGCCCAAAGAAATAATTGTAGTTGATCAAATTTTATTTATGCTGAATTTTTGGGGTAATGGTACAAGATTTTTATTGTATGGAACTGGAACTGGGGCTAGAGACATAAGGCACAACGTGTTCTCTGATGGAAAGTTCTTGCTGCAGAGAACCCCTCCAGAACTCAAATCTCTATAAACTGGTCAATATTCTCAGCAAGTTCTAAAGGTAAAAGACACATTTTATCTCTTTGGAGTCATAGATTTACAATTAAGGCCAGAAGGGACCAGTGACAAGGAGACCTTGAAGGTCGAGTGGCCTCCCACAATCCTGATGCAAACTCCCTATTTCCATCTACTTCCTAAAAAAATAATAAAAAACCCAAACTCAACCCTAATTGAAAGCGTCTCTCTATTCTGCATCACTCTTTACAAATTTATCACACATATCCAATGGATTTATAAACATTCCCACATCTCAACAACATTTATTTTCTCCAAAGCCCTGGAGAAAGAGAACTGAGACTTCCAAAGCTCTACAGAAGAAAGATTTGTGTAAGCAAAGAGCTCTGAAGGAAGGAAGTGCTGAATTGAACTGTTTGAATTGTTCCTGTGTGCCAAGGTGGGAATGTTTGGTTAAACTGAGAGGGAACTCTGCAGGGAAACTTCCAGCACCTTCCAGGGGCTAAAGGGGCTCCAGGAGAGCTGGAGAGGGACTGGGGACAAGGGATGGAGGGACAGGACACAGGGAATGGCTGCACACTGCCAGAGGGCAGGGATGGATGGGATATTGGGAAGGAATTCCTGGCTGGGAAGGTGTGGTTGGGATGAAATTCCCAGAGCAGCTGTGGCTGCCCCTGGATCCCTGGAAGTGTCCAAGGCCAGGCTGGATGGGGCTTGGAGCACCCTGGGATGGTGGAAGGTGTCCCTGCCCATGGCAGGGGTGGGATGGGATGGGATGGATTTAATGGCCCTTCCCATCCAAACCATTCCAGGATTCTCTGAACGACCTCTGTGAGAAAATGAACACAAGCACAAATTCCAGGGACAGCTCCTAAACCACTTCAATTCTCTCACCAACAAAGATCCCAAGGTGTTTCCCCCTTTCAGGGAGCAGTTCCAGATGCTCTGCAACACCCCAGCAACATCTTGAATTCCTTCACCATTCCAAACCCAAACTCATCCCACTCCACTCCAAACCCTGGAGGTGGAGATGCTCCTGCTGCTGTTTTCACTCCATAATTTCACCAATTCTTTTCAAGCAGCCTGGATGTGTCAGGGACAGCCTGTTGGGCTTGAAAAGATTTGTCCACAATGCATAAAGGAAATGGGAAACCTGGTCAGTGAGTTGGTATTTGGAATTCCTGGCTCTGGTTAGCTCCTGAAGGGTTTTTTCCACCCTGTCCCTACAGCCCTGTCAAAGAGAGACAGCAAAAACTTCATCAGCAGGCAGACTTAATAAAAAAAATTCTATCCAAAGTCAAACGTGCTTTGAGGAATGGAATAAATGCTTAATATTATTAATGGAATATACTGGGTGAGAAATATTAATTAATAATTTACTTTCATTATCTCTTTGCCCTCCTTGAGCGATCTGACGGATAAACTGTGTAAGTAAAATGTATTTTTAAATCTCAAATGATGTCAAATATATCTCAGAAGGCTGAATCCAACCTCTTAATTAAAGAGGTGGGTTATTTAAGCTACATCTGCCATCTTGCCATAACATGGAAGACTTTAATTAGTTAAGGAGAAGGGAGAGGAGGACGGGGAAGCTGAATTGAGGCCAGTGACAGCAGCAAGTGAATATCTAAAAATGTATTTTCTAAAACAGAAGTTGTTCCCATTGGCACTGTGAGTGCAGTGGGAACTGTGCTCGAAGAACTGAAGTACCCACAGCCACAGGTCTGCTCTGAACTGGGATTCACAAGGATTTCAGTGCAAAGAAGCTGAAAAGTAACTGGAAGATTTAAATAAAAGCCTAAGGAAGTCCCTAAATTCTCTCAAGGATTTTTTGGTGATAGGAAGCTGTTAGTTTTACTAAATTTGGCTCAAGAGTCCCTCTAAGCATCTTTACAAGCCAACAAAATGTGGAAACCTGCCTGGTAAGGGGAGAACAGCACTATGGCAAAATCTGGTCAAGAAACTTCAGGGCAGAAATGGAGCACAGGCTCTGCAGTGCTCAGTGGGCAACAGATACTCACAAAAACAGATTTAAAAGGCACAGAACACCCTAGGGCAGATGCTTCTGGAGACTACAGCAACAGATCAGGGGAAAATGATGATGTTTTGGGTCACCACCAGATATCCTGGGTGAATGGCAAGGATGGTGTCCAGCAGCTCTCCTGTGGGGGGAATTTTGGGATTTTTTTGAAGGAAAAAGGGGAATTAGCTCCCATCACTACACTGTGTGAGTTGAGAGAGCAGAGTTGGAGGAGAACACAGCAAGAAGTGCTGACAAAGCTTCCAAACAGGGAATGGGAATTTGGAATGGCGCCCAAGATCCAGGGACATTCCCTGCTCCAAGGAAAACTCAGGATGAGTCCAGTGGAGCTCATGGCTCATCCTCGTCATCTCCTTAAATCCGAAATGAGCCAGAAGAGCTAAACCAGGCCCTGGCAATCTGTCCCCAGGCTGTCACACCACCAAATGTCCTCTTTGTGTCCCGAACTCGCTGGGAGTGACACGCACACAGAGCAGGAACAGAACCGGGAGGAGCAGCTTTGCATAGAAACCGAGCTCGCTTCAGTCCCTGCTGTTGTAAGTCACCATTCACCGAGGTCATTATTTAAGTTTACAGAGGAGCTGTGTTCCAAGTGTCACTAATAACACCGGCATTAAAAGAGAATTAGGGGGCGGGAGATCTTCTGTTTTCAATCACAGAAAAGACAGAAATCCTTTTAATCACGGCCATGCCAATCCCCACAGTTCCAAAGCTGCTAATTACCCGTCAGGGACACCCAGGCATTGAAAGGAGCTGCCATCGCTGTGACTGCCATACTCCCATGCATTTATCCTGCCCATCCCAATTACCCTGGCTGCAGCCTGAAAGGATTCAGCACAAGTGTGCTGGGTGTTTTGATCAGCAGAACACACCCGCTGCCATTGAGCACAGAGGGAATAAATGGCAGAGGGAGGCTTCTGCCAAGGCAGCTGAGGGAGAGATGTTCTGCACATACAGAAACATCAAAGGCCCATCACCAGCCCGCTCCAGCTCAATGGTTTCAGTTCATTCCTGCTCGAGCTCTTGGCTGGAGCACTCCAGACCTCCCTGAAAGAATGGGAAAGAGCTCCACGCTGCAGCCATCAAGCCCAGCGGTTCTTTTCTACATCAGCCTGATTAAAAGGGACATTTAAAATGTTTTGTGAATTATCTCCCCCGTGTTTCAAACGGCAAATTCTTTTCAAGCTCCGTGGCAGTTGGGGCTGCTCCATCCCTGGAAATGTCCAAGGCCATTGGAGCAAGCTGGGATAGTGGAAGGTGTCCCTGTCAATGGCATGGGTGGGACTGGATGCTCTTTAAAATCCCTTCCCACTCAACCCACTCCACAATTCTCTGATATAAACTACAGAACAAACAATTCCAGGCTATTTTTAAGTGACAAAACCTAAGGCCAAGGATAGCAACAAACTCTTTAGTAAAAGAGTTTAAATTTTTGTCCCTCTGCCTCACTGCTGCCACTGAGATAAAACTTCCATTGGTTTGATTTGATTTACGTTTGTTGGACAAAAACCAACATCAAATCACTGTCACCTTACTGACAGTCCTCAAAACACCCAACCACGCTCCTCTAGTTGTAACACATTTCTCACAAAGGAAAAAAAAAAAAGATAATTTCAGTGTATTTTAAATTTGGATTTGTAGCTGCCATCTCTAGAATGCCTCTGGTTTTCATGAATGTGCAACGTCTTTAGTCAGACAGTTTAAACCCCATAAATTTGACAGCAGCAAGAGAGGCTGAAATGAAGGTTTTAGGGCTGTACCAAATCCCTTTTGGCCAATAACTGATCCAATATCCTGAGTAAATATCCCAGCTGCTCAAAAGCCCAAAGGGGAATGTTTTAGGTTGAAATATCTTCTCAGGAACTGCAAGGTATTTTTTTGGTCAGGCCATCAACCTTCCCTTCCAAGGAATCACAGTGAAAACTCCACAAAACTCCATTAAAGTAGCTGGGATCAGGATCCAACCCCTGACTGCTGCTACAAACACACAAAATCCATGGAAGGAACATATATTAAGGTCACTGACATGTAACACAATTTTAAGACCAATCCTGCCAACAAATATTCCTGCCAAAAGCTGCACCAAACCAAAGATTATTGCCTACAAGCTTAAGACTTTGTTCAAAATAATATTGTCACGTTAAATAACTTCAAAGAGTGCAAGAGCTACTTGAGTGAGAAAACTCACTCAAGTGAGTGAGCAAAAATAAAAGCAAAATTTTAACAAAAAAACCCCTAAAATTTGCTGGTTATCACACAAGGAGTTTGAAAGAAGCTGATGAGCACTGGGAAGTGGGGGCTGCACCATGATGGAGCTGGAGTGGGAGGAGGAACATTATTATAAATATTAATTAAAACGAGCAGGGATAAATTAAAAAGCAGGGGAGGGGTTGGAAACCACCCCCAGCTGAACGCTCCCAGCTCAGGATTATGGGCAGGGTCTCACAGTGAATTTAGTAATCTGCAAAGGAAAATGTGACTCCAGCTCTGGATTCCAGTTAGGAACATGCACAGGGAACCAACATCCTGCATCAAGGCAGCAACTCTGAGTTTGAAAAATTCTTACTCAATTTTAGTGGGTTTATCTTTATGAAAAATAAAATCTATTTCAACTATCACACTGCTTTTTCTAGAAGTGGCCAACAGCACAAGGAAAGGGGGATCCAAGTGAGCATAATCTGACTTTTTCCCAATCAATTTTCAGCTCTTAATAATCACCAATTTGTGATTTACTGACCCAAAATTTCTGGCTCACCACAGCAGTCACCACTGGTCTTGAGTTAATCCAAATTTTTCCTGAAATAGGCTCAGCTATGTTGAGTTTCTCACTTGCACTCACAGCAGCAAGACAAAGATGAATCTTCACAAATGAAGGCAAAAACTGATCTACAAATCACAAATGTTACAAAAACATGAAAAAACTTACCAGTCTGACGTTAGGTAATGAAACAAACAGAATAAGTCAAATATCCCTGAAGAACTGTGTAAACAGAGCAAATAATTAACGAAATCTCTAACTTATGGCTTGATTGGAGCCTGGAGCCAGACCCTGCAAATAAAGCTCCCCTCTATTAGTAAACTAGAAAATATAATTTTTATGAACAGCAAAACAGAAAAAACCCCCAACAAATTACCAGGATTTCTTTAAACAAGTCAACATGTACAAATCAGAACTAGGGAACACCTCAGCCTGAGCAGGTCTGCACAGAATCAGAGAATAATTTAGGTCAGAAAAGAACCTCTGGAGGTCTCTAATCCAACCCTGTCCAGTTGAATTTTGAGTATCCCCAAGGATGGGAATGTCACTGACTTTCAGGGCCATTTCTAGCACTGAGCATGAAAATACTTCTATTTATACTCATCTGGGATTTTCCTTCATGCAGCTTTAGCCCTCTGCCCCTCAGGGTTTGCTGGGCACCTCTGGGAAGAGCCTGGCTCTGTCTTCTCTGGAATCACAGAATATCCTGAGTTGGAAGGGACCCAAAAGGATCATCAAAGTCCAACCCCTGATCCTGCACTAGGTAAAACTAATTTATTAAGACAGTTAAAACCCAAAATCTGGGATGTCCCCAGAGCCAGCCTGGACAATCCCAGCTCCTGCAATCTCCCACTATGTGACATGTGCTCCAATCCTCCCACCTGCCCCCTCCTGCCCATTCAGTGACTCCAGAACTGATGGACAGAGGGGTCCAAACCCTTTCCATGACCTCCTGAAGGCTCTTAATGAGATTCCTTAATTGCTGCAAGGGTGCACTGCAGACTCACATCCAGCACAGGATTTCACTGTAACCACATGTGTGCCTGCAGAGTATTCAACAGAAAACAAATCTGCTGATTTTTATCAACTCATAAGGCTTTTGCAAATGTTTGGGATCTCATACTTCAGGAAAAAGGGTGGGGGAACTAAAAAAAATACCCAACACCAAAACAATCCAGAAAAGAAGTGGAGGTAGAAATTGTTGTTTTAAGAAGACGGTCAGAGACAACAACTCAAGTAAAAGGACTTTATGAGGGACAAAATATCAGCCAGAACTCACTCTAAGAAGGTAAAAGCAATCTGTGACCATCACAGATGAGGAGCTTCTTAAATGAACTTCTTCTCTGTTCACAGAACAAAAAGGTGGCTCAGATCTGCCACCAGAGCCACTTCAAGGGAACAAACTGCAGTGACTCCAGCCTGGCTACAACAAACTGCCACTCCACTGCACTGCTACCCAATGAGGCTTCATTTCCAAGGCAGCCCACAGGCAGAAAGACAAAGACAACTCCCATATTGTGGAAAAAAACCCAAAAGAAAGAATTCCAGGATTCCTGAATTCCAGGACACACACTCCATCGATTCTTTCACTTACTCCAGATCGTCTCGGTACCATCACATCAGCACCTGTCTCATTACAGATAATTCACCTCAAACCAAAAAGGGACTGACCAGCTGCAAATGGCTCCTTATGAACTTCCAGAATGAAGGGAACGACCTGCCAGGAGCACCTGGGGACAGCTGAGGTGCCACCCCTTCCTCTGAGGTACCACTTGTTCCTCACACCTCCCAATGCCCAAGGAGAAGCTGGAACAGACACACCCCAAACACTGACCCCACAGAACCAAGGGGCTGATGCCCCAAAAATTTGACATTTTCTCTAGTAAGATGACAATGTGGGAAGGTAAAAAACTGGGTGTTTACAGCCCAGGAAGATCTGCCAATCTCCAGTTGCTCACAAGGGGCTTTTTACCTGTTTAACCTTCAGAGAAGATGCTGTGTGGGATGTCAGCAGCTTCCTGACAGTGACAAACAGAATTAAGACCAGATTATTCTACATTAGATGGTACAGACACACAATTTCAATGGTGTTACTTTGATCCTGCATCACATGAACCTATAATCAGGATACAGAAGTTATAATGCTATTTTTATTCTTCCCTATTGCTTTAAAAAGGCAAAGCCTCAAACAATGCCCTTTTTTTTTACAGATACTATAGTAAGCAATAAGCAATATTTCTTTTAAAATTGCAGCTGTCCAACAGTTTGAATCTGTTCTTTTTAAAATGAAACAGCCAGAACAAATGGTGGTGGCAAGCCCAACGTAAAGAGGTCATCGATTATTAAAATCTCCTTACTATAAATCGTGGATGTTGCTTGTCAGCTCAGTGTGTGACTGTGGAATGAATAAGTAGGTAAAATTCCACTAAGGCTCGAGTTTGCTCGATCATTCTGCTGTGCAAAAATAGAAATAAAAGCTCTCCCCATCCTTTCACTCCTAAGTACCAAAACATTCATACAGGCAGTAAGAAAATAACTGCAGTGGAGCAATGGTCACTGATCCAAGTCCTGCCTTTCCTGAGTCCGCCCTGACGCTACTCATGAATTTGCCTACTCAAGAAATGCAATAAAACAGGAAAAAAAGACGGCTTCATTCTGCTCCAGTGATCTGTATCTAAGGAAAGCACATAAATTCTCCAATGAAATCCATAAGTGGAAGTCGAGGCCAAGCCCTACCTATAGATCTTCCAAGGGACAGAGAGGTGGCACGGCGGTGCCCTCTGAGAGCACAGGATCTCCCCAGCACATGGGAAAGCAGTTTGCTCCACAGGGACAGAGGAAAAGCTGAGCTGGAGGGCTCAGCCTGGCTCAAAACCCGCTGAGGAGCCACACTGCAGCCATCACGAACCTCTCTGAGGGTTAAGAGGGAGGAAGGGATGAGAACAAGGCGAGTAACAGGAATTTCCCCTTGCTCCACCTCCAAAGCAGAGGGGAGCAAAGCGAAACCCATCCTTGAGCTGTTTTCCCCTCTTTAGGCTATCCCCACACAAACTGGGAAGATAAAGAGGAATGTGGAGGGAAATGCTATGCAAACTTTTCTATACGTGTCTCCATACAAAAATTTCCGTAGGTTTTGAATTTGTTCTCTGTTAATGTAACACAGCCCTGCCCGTCTCTAACGCTTCTCGTGCTGTTTCCATCCAAATGTTTCCTCTTACCGGCAGCAACATATCATTTTATCAGGATGCCAAGAGATCATTTCCACACAATGCTAGCAGATGTAATTTTCTTAGATGCACACACAGTTCATCATTTAGATACTAGATGACAAGGTGATCGCAGGGTGACTCTGTAATGCAAGTTCGCTGTTTGGTATTTGGAATTCTCAAATGATAAAAAAAAGACTTATCAAATATAAATATCTTTAAGAAAAAAGTAACAAAAGTGCTACATATGATCAAGGAAAACAATTCCATTAGTTCCTGCTACTTAGAGTAGGTTTGCTTTACAAATATTACCACATCCATTATCAGTATGGCTTCCAATTATTAATTAAATTGCTCGTAGCAGTATAGCTTTCTCACACCTTAACAAAGACAGAGTAAAGAGAACACAAAACATTCACACCCCATTTCTCAGGTAAGAGATCCTCCTGCCTTCAAACAAACAAAAGAAGTTCGTATTTAGGAGAATATTTATGCTCTGATGGTTATCTAGCAAAGGTCAGATGTTGAATTCTCCAGTAACCTTTCAGGCTAGTCAGGATTTAGGCATTACTTACACAGGAGTGTAAAAATCCACTCACCCATTTTAGGACCTTAACAACCTTCCTGGAAAACACTGCTTTCGAAAGTGGCAAAGTGGAGAGGGGAGCAGAGCGGGGACAGAAAAGGTGAGAGAGGAGGAATTAAAGGTGAAATTGTTAATGACAGATGGCTAAGAGTCTAGACCTCTTCTGAGCAGGCACTGCCAGCCATGCCAAGAACGAGCAGTGGTTCTGAGAAGTGGACTCTTGTCCATTTAGACATTCAGCTCATTTTTCATTTGATCCCAGGCTGGGCTTCAACCACGGTCGCAGAGGCAGAAGGCAGCACTTCTCCACTAAGCCACGCAGCTTGTGAGAGCAGAGGATGTCTGTGCTGAACATGTGAGCATCAACTGAAATGTGGGAATGTGTTTCCAATGGACATTCTCGGCACAGCACCCGAAAAGTAAACGGAGTCACTGTATGACCAGTGAGGCACGGCTTATTGCAGCTGGAAATCATTTATTCCCATGCTGGAGTGGGGTTTCTAAGTGTTCTTTTTACTCTCTGTTGATACTCCCAGTCTGGTGTCCATCGACCCTGTGCCACTACCTCAGCTTGCATCCTTTCAGTCTCAGGGCAGGGAAAGCGTACGGACTATCGGCTTCAACACCATCTCTAAGGTTATCCAAGATTTTAAGTGTAGCCTAAAGACTTGTAATTGAGGGCTGTCTAAAATACCTGGAAGCACTTTGAATGCTAAGACAGAGCAGCAAGATTTTTTTTTTCTCTTTTTTTTTTCTTTTTTTTGTTTTTTTTTTTTTAATTTTACCTTTCTAGCCACTGGGGGCCGGGAGAGGGAGGTTGGTTGGTTGATTGATTATTTATTGGGAATTAATACTGAGAGAGTATATGCAAAGGCTGAGGGCACCATGCCATCTTCACAGAACAAGACCCTAACAGCTAACTGACGTACAAGAAACTGCAAAGTTATACTGTAAGAACACATATTAAGGACTGAGGAAAGTCTGCTAAGGTGCTACGTCTAAAACTAAGTTACTTCTTGCTTTGACCCTCCCCTCTCTTGGCATCAGTCGTCGTCCAGAGCCTCTGTCTTGATCTCGTTGGCTCCTTGCCGGGCCAGCGCCAGGATGGTGTGGTTGACTGCTGCCATCTCCACTGCTAAGGAAATGGGGTCTTGGTGGTCACTATGGCTAGTGCTGTCATCCTGGGAACCATGTGGGAAGGAGCAGAGAGAAGCAGGGTTATTCCATGAGTCCAAAAAAAACACAGCGGAGAAAAAAAAAATATGCCGAGTGATTCTGGATGGACAGAGCGGGGTCACAATGTGGGTTTAGGAATGGTTTAGGACTGGTTTACAACTGGTTTTACAACTGGTTTAGGACTGGTTTCCCTCACTGTGCAGACAAAGGTAAACCAGGAAGGGAGTGGGGGACCCAGCTCTGGAGGAAAATATTGAATTATGAAGACACAAGTGATACATGAGGTAAAATCAGGAAAGCAAATTAGGCCAGGAATCACTGGGCATGGCACAGGTACATGCTTATATCTGGAATATAAAGTTCTGGTTGCCCTGTTAAGGTCATCTATGGCCATGGCAGGGAATAAGATGAACTTTAAGGTCTCTTCCAACCCAAACTGTTCTGTGTGTTCTCTGATTCTATTTGATGCCACAACAGAAAAAGAAAAGGCAGAGAAAAGAAAAATCCCAAGGGAAGAAGTTTCCTCGTGAGAAGAAGCTAAACAGAGTCAAGTTCCTCCAGTTTGGGGAAGAAATGGCTGATGGTTAATATGATAAATGCTTATTACAAATAATTGGAAAATAAGAGGACAATTGTCCTTGGTTTTTTATGATTTAATAATCAAAGACACTGGCTGGAATGATAATGTGATCCAATGCAGCAGTGGGAAGCACTGCTCGCTCAGCACAGCTCAGTTCAGGATTCACTGATTTTTACATCAGACAAAAATAAAAATGGCTTTAAAAGGTGTATGTTTGACAAATCCATGGAAAATTAGTCTGCTACAAATTATGGAAACTCAGGAAGCCTCTTAAAACTACTGACTTCCAGAAGCTGGAAGCTACTAGAATGAAACAATTCCATATACATTAGAAAAGTCTTTTTTCTTTAACTACTACTATTGACCAGAACCATGACACAAACTGAGCCTAAGCCTTGGTCCAAGTCAGCATCCTGTGAAAACACTGAATTCACACAGATACAGGGGAAGAGATGCTAGAAAACTCTTCCAATGCTAAGAAAACCAGTGACTGAAGGGGACTGGAACCACCATAAATCAAGTAGGGAATTTTGGGAAAAATCATGGTGCTTTCCCCTCTTTAAAACAGGGACTAATAATTATCCCCCTGTGATCTTGGATTTTTAAATTATTACCATTTACGGAAAGGAAATTATAAACATTTATCAGTCTCCCAACAGCCTTCAAGTGATGAACTTGTGATTTAAAATTTAAAACATGCAAAGAGTATTTTTAAATTAAGATGATGGGTGGCAAATGTTGAAGGACCAAAAATAAGTCAGGATTTGGTAAAAACCTGAGGTTATTTAGAAGGATTCATTCATTTATAACAAGGGTCTGGTAAATTTTAGGGCCCCTCAGAAATCTTTGTCATGGTACAAATACAGAGCCCTAAAATCTGGGGTTTAGGCACTTTGATAGTATTTAGATGAACTTAGTGGTTTAAAGTTTATTAGAGTTTAGGTGCATCTATGAAAAACAGAATTTCTGGGTTTAACAGCTAAGGGATGTTAAATGGTCATCAGGAAAACCTGCCATTTAATCTGCTTTGCTGCTGATGACTAATTACACCTCATAGAGGAGCCCAGATTACTGAGAAATGTCATTTCTAAGGCCTCTCAACAAAGATCTTTAAATTTTAATAACCCATTTATTTCTCTTTTCAAAGTATCCTGGTTAATGCACAGAAGAAAAACATAGTTCAGGAGCCTACATCATGCTCCACCTCAGTGTTCCACTCCTGTCTGCCTGACAGGGAATCTTCTGGGCTTGGCAGTGGTTTCTAAATATTTTATGGCAGTCACAGAGCAGCTTCTCATCACTGAGAGGCAGAAAAGTTGGTCCCACCAAATTTGTTGGTGCTGACCTACCAAAAGGGTCTCAATCCCCACCAGGAGCAGGGCAGCTGGGGATGCCAGCTCTGCCAGGGATCTGCTGCACTGGGCCAGAGCCAAGTGTGCCAGGGACTCATTCCAGGACACTCAGCTGCTGTTCCACTCCAGCAGCAGCTTCTGCAGAGGGAGAACTCCCAGATTCTCCCAGAAAAGGCAGGGAAAAGTGATCCAGCCCAGCTGTGGGGTAGCACAGAAATATCTCCTCTAAAAAGCAGCAGTGAACTGGTTGAGTCACTGGTTCCAAACCCTGGAGGTTTGGTCAACACTGGGAAAACTGGGAAGGGGATTCAACACCTGTCAGGAAGGGTCACCAACTTTAGGGTAGGTGAGGGCTCAGAGTGTGGGAAGGGGTATTCTTTTGCTAAGAGGATTTAAAAAAGAAGTTGCTGTCAAGGGTTAAAAATAACCAAGAGAAAGAGAGAACAGGCAAGAATTAAAATGCAAAAGCAAACAAACAAAAAAAACCCCAGATAATATGTAAAGAATCCAAATAGTGGCACACTCTTGCAGAACAATATGGAATGGGCCAATTAAAGGTCAAAGCTTAGTAAATCAAATCCTTTCCCCCTACCCTTCACCCTTTGTCTGCCAGTGTCTGAGGGGTGATCCTGAGAAGCTCCTGAAAGGTTCTCCCACAGAGCAGAGGGAGCTCAGGAACTTCCAGGAGGGTGCTCAGAACCCTGCTGGGAAAGGCTGGCACAAGGAATTCTGAAGGCTCCTGGGCAGGGCTCCCTCCTGCTCATGTCTGGGGCTGGGTCAGCAGCTCACAGCAGGGGTGGCCCTGGCTAGAACAGGGCCCTTCATGCAGAAAGAAATCAGAGGTGCAGGAGGTGGCCAGCTTTTCAGGGATAACTATTGCTGCATGACACACAGGACTGTGAAAGACCTGTCCATCCCTTCCTGAGGAACGGGAACTCAGAGCGACAGGGAAGGAGAGCGTGGGTATGGCAGGGCTCTGGCTGAGGTGAGCCCTCATGTCCTGCCGTGTCTCAGACATTGTGTGTGGTGTGAGGGGTGTAACTTGCTTGTTTGGAGCAGATCCTCCAGGGGTGGAGAGGTGGCAGGGGTGGCCCTGGTGTGAGGGGTGTAACTTGCTTGTTTGGAGCAGATCCTCCAGGGGTGGAGAGGTGGCAGGGGTGGCCCTGGCTATAACAGGGCCTTTCATGCAGAAAGAAATCAGAGGTGCAGGAGGTGCCCAGTTTTTCAGGGATAACTGCTGGTGCCTGACACACAGGACTGTGAAAGACCTGTCCATCCCTTCCTGAGGGAGGGGAATTCAGAGAGACAGGGAAGGAGAGCGTGGGTATGGCAGGGCTCTGGCTGAGGTGAGGCTCTCCTCAGACATTGTGTGTGGTGTGAGGGGTGTAACTTGCTTGTTTGGAGCAGATCCTCCTGTCTTCTTCTACCTTCTCTGCTTCTCTGCCTCCCTCGGAACACCGTCCCTCCTCCTCCCCGTTGCGTACTTGCCAAGTGTCCTGTTGTGAGGCAACAAATCCACGTGGGTCAATACTGGGCATTGTCACCCTCTCCCCATCACAGTGACACAAAAGCCAAACAAAACAAGATTTTCAAGAGGCAAAAGGGTTTTTTTAGGTGTTTGAGTTCTCCCTGTTTGGGTCATGAGGCTCCAGTGCTCACCTGCTCCGAGTAGTCGTTGCCGTCCACGTCGTCGCTGTTGGAGTGACCTCCTGGACTCTGTACATCTATTCCATGGCTCTCCAGGATTGCTGCTTCTTCGAAAAAAGCAAATGGATCCCTCATTTATCTGATGCATTGGAGAAGTTAAAGTAACTCAGGGTTTTTTTCCCCTTCTTCAGGAAGTTAGAATAAAGGAGGAGGAGGAACAGGGTTAGTTCTCAGCACCTTTCTCTTCACTCTCCAATACTGGGGAATATAGCACAGGTACAAACACTGGTTTCCCTGAAATCCTTCCCTGCCAACTACCAGACCTGTCTGGGAGTAAAAATCCCTGTATTCCAGCCCGTCCTAACAGAAATCAGTGTAATTTCTGAGGTATTGGGGTGACAAAGGCATTCCCTGTAAATCTTCCCCCATAGTTTGGACTGGCAGGACTCAAGGGGGTGAGGAATGTCTGAAAATAGATGGGAGAAATTTCTGAAAGCACTTCAGGGATTTGGAAATACAAAAATCCATCTTCCAGGAGGATCCATATATCTAAAGCTCCCCTTGATTCTTTCTGATCTCTTTTCAAACCTCCTCTCCAAACAGTAAGTTTGCTTTATTCCCCCATTCCTTTGAGAAGCCATTTTTACTTGTAGAAAAATAAATTCAGGTAAACTTCAGTAACATGTTAAATGGTGTAATAAGAGGGCATTTTTCTTATTCAGAAATAAGGCAGAACAGTGGAACATTTAAAATAATTAAAAATACTGGAAATATGCAGATACAGATGTCTGTTCACCCAAGTGTCGCAAAAGTAATTCTGCATAATATCTAAGTAAGGGCATCAAACTTTTTATGAATGGCAGGAGTTTGTTGAATCCACAAAATAAAAAAATCACTGAGGTGACTTATTCTCCTTAGAATATCTTATCCACACCAGAGGGTCTCCTTCCTACAAGCTCAGAGTCACTTTTGATTTCCCCACAATCAGCTAAGAACCCACAGGGTTACCTCTGAAGTGACTTTTATTTTTTCCTGATTATCAACAAAAAATCTGGCTTTTTTCCAGCCACTTGTCCCTGGGCAAAACCTTGGAAAGCTGTCAGGGGCAGAGGTATAACCAGGATAAAAACCACACAAAGTTTGTGAACCTGCCAACATCTTTATCTCCTTTATTTACAATTTGGAGGTTTCGTTTCAGATTTGAGTTTGGATACTCAAAGGAGGGAAATGCAACTCTCCTTCCACCTATAAAATCCTCACTTTGCTTTTTAAAGCTGATCTTCCAGTAAAACTTTGTAACTGCATCACTTTTTCCTGCACTGATGACAGAATTCTACAAATTGCACGTATTTCACAAAAAAAATCTGGAACAGCAAGGGACTCATTTTCATAATTCCTCCACATTTCTCCCTGTGCTGTCAGCACCTCTGGTGTTTTCACTAATTTATTCTTACGTAATTGCCACCTCTCCTGAGCAAACCCCAAGCCCTGCAGGCAGGCTCTGTGATACATTACCAATATTGGCTCTTCTCTTGATCTCCTTCCTCCTGTTGGCAAACCAGTTGTACACTTTGAGGGAGGTAACTCGCTCCAAATCCGACAACTTTTTTCCTAGGAAAGCAACAGGAGGGAAAAATAATAGTTCAGTGGTGTTAAAATAATATTTCAGTGGTGTTACTCAGTGGGTTCCAGAGAAGCTGTGGCTGCCACATCCCTGGGAAGTGTCCAGGAACAGGTTGGACAAGGCTTGGAGCAACCTGGGATAGTGGAGGTGTCCCTGTCCCTGTTCTGGGATTGGAATTTTAGATGAGCTTTGAGGTCTCTGCTCACCCAAACGATTCTGGGATTCTATGGGATAAACCCCTGAAACACAAACAGCACTGGCAAGTTATTATAACTGAGAAAAAACCTGAACTTTATGTGGATGACATTCCTGTGTTTAGGTGCTGTGGCACTAACTGCCAGATATCTTCTTTTCTTCTGTTGTTTAAAAATCTGAATTACAGGAGTTTCTTTGCAGCTTTAACCAACTCAATCCAGAGCCATGGGAGAATGAAGGGCTGCTTTTCCAGTGTGAGCACAAAACTGAGAATCCAAAAACTGAAATTCCTTCCACAAACCCCATCCCTGGGGCTCCTTCTCTTACTGAGTCATGAGGGTACAGTTCACTGTTTTATAACAGCAGCAAAATGAATGAAGAGGTTTTGTGTCACCCTTGCAATCTGCTTTCCTTTCTCTCAGCACCCATCACACCTTCCCAGCTGTACCAGGACACTCGGGATCTTTTGGGAGAACGGGGTTGGATGCTGGAAACTGGATTTTTACATTTAAACCAACAAAATATTCCCAAAAACCAGAGGGCAGTTGTAGAAAACTATGCCTTTATCTGGTCATCAGCATAAATAAGGGAAGACTGGAGGGATTCAATATTCCAAGGACATCCTGGAAACCTCTTCAGTTGCTCTTGACCCTATATAAAATATTCCCCACATCTGCATCCTCAGACCTCTGCAGGCTACACAGGGTTGAGCCCCCCCTGCTTCTGACTCCTTTCCAAAGTTTATTTATTCAGCATACAAAACACCCATGTAATTGCAGCAATCTGCACACTTAAATAAGTTAGGAGAGAGATGAGACAAGTGAAAGAAAGAAAACTCTGGAAATTGATAGCTTGGCTGCTGCCTAATGCTTTGCATCAGCAGCACTGGCAGTATTTTACTGCTCCCTGACATGGCCTTGCAGCACTTTGTTCCAAGTTGCTCCACAAACCAGCAGCACAGCCAGGAATCAAATCCTCAGCTCTCTGGTCCTCTTACCTGATGGATTTTTCAGGGAAAATTTCAGCAGGTATTAGGGAAAAAGTACTTTGCCATGAGAGTGCTCAACATTGTGGAACAGGGGCCTGGAGATGGGAAAATCTCTGGTTTTGGAGGTACTGAAACTGAACAATCCCATCAGATGAACTCCAGAGGTCACTTCCATTCTAACCTGTCTGACCCTGAGCTATTCTGTGACAGTCCCAGCTCTCCACAACTCCCTGAAAGGATAAAAAGGTGGGGATCCATCTTTTCTCCCAGGGAACAGGGACAGGACAAGAGGAAATGTCCCTCAATGACCTCAAGCTGCACCAAGGATGCTCAGGTTGGATATTGGGAATAATTCCTGTCTGGAAAGGGCTGTCCAGCCCTGCCACAGCTGCCCAGGGGCAAGGGTGGAGTCCCCATCCCTAGAGGAATTTAAAATTCCTGTGGCACTTGAGGACATGGATCAGTGGTGGCCTTGGTTGGACTCAATGATCCCAGAGGCTTTTCCACCCGAAATAATTTTGTGATTCCATGTGCATGACTCACACTTTAGTTGCCTTCTCATTAATTTTTATTCTGGTTGTAAGAAATCTAAAAATATCCAAAACACAAGTTCTGAAATCTATGTAAATGTTTGGTTAGCAAAACTAAGCAAAGGCAGGTGCATCCACTAACACTACACTGAATATTCATGCTCCTCTCCTAAGTATAATTTCTCCAGAAACAGGGAAAATGCAACTTGTTGACCTAAAGATAAGGTCCTGCATTCACACCCAGGTTCTAATCTGAGATCCATGTCTGGAAGCTGTAAAATCCTGAAAACAGGAGAGCTGAGCTCCTTCCTCCTCCAAAAACCTGAATTATCAGTCAAAGGTTGATGACCTTGGGGATCTTTTCCAACCCAAATGATTCTGTGATTCTGCAAGCATCAGTCTCAGAACTGAAGATGCTGAAACCTCTTTGTTTTCGGGAAGGACCCCCCAGCAGCTCCTCACCTGGTTTTTGTATAACTGCATTACAGGCGTTGGCAATTTCTTCTCTCTTTGCCTCGTCGGGATATTGATTCTCATTGAAGTAACTGCAAAAGGGGAAAAAAAATCAGTTTTTTTCTTAAGAAATCAGAGCATGAAGGTTCCAAAGCAGCTCTACTAAAAGGTGTCAGCTGCTGATTGATGCATCATTCCTCCAAAGGTACCACAGTGAATTTTATGGTAAAGTAACACCAGACTGCACTTATGTCCACATGGAATGAAGGAAACTTCCCAAATCCCTCAGATAAATGAGTATGATCTCAGAATTTAGAATATTGTACTAGGACACCCAAAAATGTAGGCAATTCCATGGATATCAGAGTTAATTAAGATTGTCAAGTGAAGCATCATCTCCAAGACACCACAGGCCTTTGACTTTACTATCATTTATTTATTATTTATCCCCTGACACACTCTCAGCTTAGGCAGAAGGAGCTGTTTAACATTTATTTTGATATATTTGTTAATATATACACATCCATGCATGTTTTTAATATCTGTACTATGCAAAACCCCACAAATACTGCAGAGATAGACGTGGTGTGGAGATGCCATGAAATTACACAGGATGATTTCTACAGTCAGATTGTTTTTTTAAAAACACAATTCAAAATTCTTCAATCTTCCTCAGAACGACACATTGAGTACAGGACGTTTCTAACACTATTTTTTCTGGAATAATTGTGATTTTATTGTACTTTATATGCAGTAAACATCCCATAAAAGTTAAAACTGTTTCCTCTTTTACCTCATTGAACCATTCTGCAAATTTTAATGAACTGATTTACATTCCACAGAGCTTATCAGATCTGCATTAAAACCAACAAAAAGTCCTGTTTTCTTCAATGGACTCTGCTAATCACACCACAAGCAGGGACTACCACTGTTTTTTTCTGTAGATTATCTATAATATATAATCCTAGGATTTCTTTTATCAGCTTTGATCAGCAGCAGGCCCGGCTGTTGGACAGCTGCTCTGGATTTGAAAAGAAGATATTTATTTCCTTAACTGTAGATCATTTGGTAATAGGAGATTCAGGCATATTGAGGCAATTATTATTTTCCATTATTCATCCAGGGGATTGGCCCCAGTTACTTTCTATGGAAATCCAGATTCTGTTCCATACAGGAACTGTTTCTGTCCAAACTTTGAACACTCAGGTTGAATTTTAGGTGCCACTAC